GCATGACCATATGATTTGCTTTACCTAGTGAAATATGACACTTCTGGCAGAAGCCTTTAAGAGCTGGACAGTGATTTAACATCTTTTTCTTGTCATGGTGACTGGGGAGGTTCCAGGTAGTGGTGCTTTATAAACCTGGGTCCCTGAATGGACGTGGAACAGTTCTCCCCACCCTCCTTCACACTGATTTTTGGAGGACATAGACTTTAAGTAAGAACTAAATCTTTGTATTAAGCTACTGAGGTTTTGAGTCTCCGTTACTAGAGAATAATCTAGCCCAGTGGTTGGCAAACTGCGGCTCGAGAGCCACATGCAGCTCTTTGGCCCCTTGAGTGTGGCTCTTCCACAAAATACCACGTGTGGGCGCGCATGTACAATGCAATTGAAACTTCGTGGCACCTGCGCAGAAGTCAGTATTTTGTGGAAGAGCCACACTCAGCCGAACACTGATCTAGCCCATTCTGACTATGTAGAAATTGGTACCCAGAAGGAGGTAGAGTTATGACAATGGAAAACCTAAAATATATGGCTGTGACTTAGAGGCTCAATGGGTGGTGGCAAGGGAACTGTTAGAGGCTGGAAAGTTAGTAGTCCATGTTAGCTGTGGTAAAATATGTGAGTCTCTCATTCTTTACCTTTACCGTGGTTATTCTGACTCTGTCCCACCACTGTACATTGAGTGTATGTGTGTGTGTGTGTGTGTGTGTGGGTGTGTGTGAGCAGAGAGGGATGAATCTTCATCTTTTGAGGTCTCTATAACAATAGAAGCTTATTCCTGTTCTAATATAGGGACCATCAGCCATCACCCAGAAATGCTAGACTGAGATAAATGCCATTACTGAATAGAACTTTTGGATTGTCTCACTTGTGACAGGGGTGAATATATTTTGTAGTGTAAAGAGAGTGAACTGTAAATTGGTGACTAGAAAGATGGATTGCAGTAATCATTGGTGTGGGAAGCCACCTATTGTCTTCACTAGCGGAGAGGTGTGGACAAGGAACCAGGAAGGCTGGTGACCCTTGAAGCCCTGGCAAAGGTCAGGGCTATGCATCCACTGTTTAGTCCAGACAATGGTAGCTGAAGCAACTTCCCCATCTATTATCATGTAAATCCTTGCTGATGGGATAGTCTTCCTGTTACTGGAACTTGCCTGCCTAAGGGCTATGGGTGGATCCCAAACTGATGGGGAGGCCTGAGCACAAGTGGAGTCCATCCTCTTGGGATGGGCTCTCGCCTGGCTCCCCAATTTCCAAATTATTATTTCTTGTTTCATCTCTTTCATTTGTGTGGGGCCCCTCTTCCAGATCCTGAACCCTGAACCACGCGGGACATGGGAGGAACAAAAACAAACACATTACACACATTGGTGCTCTTCACCAGTAAATTCTGATTATCTTCCTTCTGGAAAAACAGGATTGCACTTCCGAGCTCCCTTGAAAAATAGGCATGCCTGTATAATTTGCCTTTATCCAAGAAACCTGAATGGAATTGACTTGTATCACTTTCAGGAAGAACCAATTTGTCATTTATCTTCCTTGGACCTATCATGCAAGTGGGGAAGTTACACTGATTCGGGTTCTCCTCAATGATCAGGTTGCTTGGTGACAAGGACCTGCTCTGAAGCTCCACCCCCCACCACCCCCACAATTTTCGACCCTTGGTTAGGGCTTGTCGCTGCACCATAAACTGGACCATCCTCACTAATGTCAATTACTGTAAAAGTGATCAGAAAGCTACAAATGCTGATCGTTGTCAATTATAAGTGGGATCAGTAATTGAAACTATCCACTGATAATTCCTAAAGCACCTTCACAAGTGATTTTACTTCTCCAATTGTGACCATTCCAGAAAGGTGATTATGAGATTTTAAACTTCATTTTCTTAATCTGTGAAAATGTAAAACCATATCTTCACTGTCAAGAGGTAGTGATGAGCAATGAAATACTTCCTTGTAGGAAAAAAAAAAAGCAAGGAAAGGTGGATAAGGATAAACTACAAAACAGGGAGGGTAGAACTGAACTCAGAAATCAGGAGTTTCCAGGAAGAATTAAAACATATTGCCCACATACTTGTGCATAAATTTGCAGTAATACACAGAACTTCTTAGTAAATTTTGTGTTCGGCCCTCTACACATATACAGAAACACATGCACAATTGCTGTGGTGCAAAAGTCAAAAGTGTCACTGAAGTTTATTTTAAGTGAAAAGCTCATTCTGAAGAAGAAAAAATATTTTCTCTAGCGTAGTGTAGAATTCACTCCATAACATTTGTAAAGTGCGAAATACCACACCACTCACTGTACTAGGGTCAGGCAAGTGAAAGATGTCACCGTACAGAAGTCTCAATGGTCGCTGTCCTCCAGGAGTTCACATTTTGCAGAGGATAAAGAGTTTCCTCTTTGGGGGGTTTTCATCCAGTCACACCCAATGCCATCCGTAAATAATTTTCGGTGAAAAGCCCCGCATCTTTCCCTAAGCCTTACACATATTCACACTTTCCGAAATCTCTTCGCCCTGGAAACTGATGTTAGGGCGGGATCGCTCTGGATATTTCGCAGTTATTTGGGATGCGGCCCCATGACCAGTTTGCTTTTTCCCTGCAGTGGCGGGATGACAGTGACCCCCCCCCCTCCCCGCTTCCCCCTCCAAATTTCCAGCACTTAAAGCACAAAGTGCAGCTTGAACCATCAAGAAGCGGTCAACCTTGCGGTTTGCACCGCCCTTCTATAGCAGAACCTAAAGAAGTTGAGGCGGCTCGGTCAGACCGGGCAACGCGAGTAGAGCAGTGCCGGGGGCAGGGCGTTGGAGGCCAAGTCCACCAGAGGCGCAGCGCAAAGGAGTCCAAGGCCGGTCTAGAAGCCCAAGTGTGCAAGAAGGACTGAAGAGTGTCCGTCCCTGCTGGACTACAAGGACCAGCATGCATGGCGCCGCGGGGTCCAAGCTCCGCTCTGGGACTCCGGCCCAACGGAGCCTGGGAAGTGAAGTCTCCGCGCAGCCCGAGTCGCTTCGGGAAGGCTGAAGGGAGGAGTAGTTAGTCCGCTCCATCGCACGCCGGTTCCCGGCCGGGCTCGGAGCCTCTCGCTGTCGCCCAGGGATTTCGCGGGCGGCGGGAGCAGGATGGCTCGCTGGAGTAAACTCCGGGGGGAGGAGGCGGCGGCGAGGGGCTGGGGAGGCGGGGTCAGCGGAAGCGGCAGGTTGCTTCCTTCTCCTCGCGCTCCCTCCCCGCCTCTCCCGGAGGGAGCGGTGGGAGGGGGAGGGCCGGGCCGAGGGAAGGTAGTGACACGTGTCAATCATCTCCGGGGGTCGCGCGCTGCGGGGCTCGCGCCCCTGCCTCGTGCCCGCGCCGCTCGTATGTAAATGAGGGCGCGTGACGCGGGACGCAGATGGACCAGGGAAGAGGGAGGATGGCCGCCGAGGCCGCCGTCGCTCAGTGCGGGAGCCCTCGGTGCGCGGCGGAGAGGAGAGGATTCCGGCGGGAACTCGACTCCTGGCGCCACCGCCTCATGCACTGTGTAGGTAACAGAGACGGTAAGAGAGACCCGGGCTGGGCCGCGGCTCCGTGCGGCGGCGTCCGCCGCGACCCGAGGAGTTCGGGGCTGAGGGGCTGAGTTGAATCTCCCGTTCGGGTCAGTTCAATGGGGGAGCGAGCTGGGAGCGGCGGCGGCGGCGCGGCGGCCCGGGCTCGCCTTTTGTCTGGGGGCTCCTGGCCCGGCGCGGTCCGCGCTCCTTCCGCTTCGGAGCTGTTGGGCTCCCCGGGAACTGTTAGTTCGGACCCGCTCGCCCAGCCCCCGGGGGAACCGCTCGCTCGCGCTGTCCCCCAAACTCCTCGGCGCCTCTCGCCGCCCGGCGTCCGCCCGGTCTGGAGGGAGGAAGCGGCCCCGCGGTCGGCGTCCGGGCGGAGGGGAGCCGGCGGGAGAAAGGCGGGCCGGTCCGGCGCCCCCACCGGGCGCACACACACCCCCTTCTCGCCGCCGGGGGCCGGGCCGGCCGCCGCCCACCGAGTTCCAGAGGAGGGCATCCCGGGCGGCCCCCCCTCCCCCCGGGGCGCTCGCGGGGCCGGGGCCTCGGGGGGGCCGGGGGGGGGCTCGGGGCAGCGGGGGCCGGCGCCCGAAGGGGCGGGGGCGCCCCTCCTCTGCCCTCTTGCGCTCGGCGGCCGGGCGGTGGTGTACCCCCTTAAGAAGGAGCCGCTGGAGCGCTGACGGTTGGGATTTGAAGTTCTTCCTCCCTCTTTGGAAGTCTGGACGGCGGGGAGCGGGGGGACTGTTGCCATAGAGATGACACCCTCGCCCCCCTTCCCTGTGCGGACGCCCGGCGACTCTGGTCCTCTTTCGCTGTCATGTGATGGACCCGTCCCCGCACTTACCCGCACGTCTCCCTCCCCGCCTCCCACCCGCGTCCTCCTGACCGTCCGTCTTCCCAGTCGGTGGGGCCGGCGTCGTTCGTGCTTCTCAAACTTCTGGGCTGGGAGCTGTCATTCTGCAGGTTGCCGGGGGCGGCGGGAGGTGGCGGGACCTCCGGACCTTCGCCGCCGGCGCTCGCTTTTCTGTCCGAGTGGGACGTGTGCAGGGAGCTGTTCTGCAGGTTGGTGTCCTGGGCAGGAAGGGGGCGACGCGGGGACAGGGACGAGGGGTGCTGTGCGCCTGTGTTTTGGAAGGGGATTTGGGGTGAGAGAGGAAGGGAAGAAGTGTGGGTAGTGGAAGCAGCTGGCTCGGTGGGCGATTAAATCTTGGCACCTGGAGTGGAAGCACTAACCTCTTGTTTCCATCTGTTTTTGGGCCACCTCGAGCCGCCCCCCGCCCCCCACCCGGTTTGTTGGTTTAGCGCCTGGAGGAAGATCCTTCTTTTTGGCTAGTGAACAGGAGGTCGCAGTAGGATGAACTAGTACAACTTCAACTCAGAGGCTTGAACTGCAGCATACGATGGACATAGGAACTAGGGGCACTTTTATGTTTAAGCCATTTACTGTTTACCCTTATAAAATAGGTTTTGGTCTTATCTAAGGAGACATTCTGGAAAATAGCTTTGATTGAGTTCTCATAAGTGATTTTAGTTCTTTAAAAAAGTGTAGAAAAAACCACACGGTATTCTTTATATAAAACTAGAGGCCCAGTGTACAAAAAGTTGTCCCCTCAGCCCGGCCTGTGCCCTCTCGCAGTCTGGACCCCTCAAAGGATGTCCACCTTCTGGCTTAGGCCCGCTTCCTGGGGGGATTGGGCCTAAGCTGGCAGTCGGACATCCCTCTGGCAGCCCAGGAGCCCTTGGAGGATGTCCACTTGCCAGCGGGGAGCAGGCAGAAGCTGCAGTCGGACATCCTTAGCGCTGCTGAGGAGGCAGGAGAGGCTCCCACCACCACAGCTGCAGCCGTCAGCCTGGCTTGTGGCTGAGCAGAGCTCCCCCTGTGGGAGCGCACTGACCACCAGGGGGCAGCTCCTGCATTGAGCGTCTGCCCCCTGGTGATCAGTGTGTGTCATAGTGACCAGTCATTCCCAGTCGTTCTGCTGTTAGGGTCAATTTGGATATTACCCTTTTATTATATAGGATAGAGGCCTGGTGCATGGGTGGGGGCCGGCTGGGGTGCCTGGCCAGCCTGGGTGAGGGGCTGATGGCTGTTTGGGATAGAGGCCTGGTGCATGGGTGGGGGCCGGCTGGGGTGCCTGGCCAGCCTGGGTGAGGGGCTGATGGCTGTTTTCAGACTGGCCACAGCCCCTTCAGGGTGGGGGTCCCTCCTGGGGTGCCTGGCCAGCCTGGGTGAGAGGCTGATGGCTGTTTGCAGGCTGGCCACGGCCCCCAGCCACCCAAGCACCCAGTGGAGGCTGGCTGGAAGCAGGTATCTGGGATTGATTTATCTTTTATAATTGAAACTTTGTTGCCTTTGAGCAGAGGCCACAGCAGGCCAGGCAGGCAGGAAGCTTGGCTTTCTCCATCGTCAAGGCAACCAAGCCTCCTGCTTATTCCAGCTCCATGGCTGCCGGCTGCCATCTTGGTTGGGTTAATTTGCATATAGTCGCTCTGATTGGCTGTTGGGTGTGGCTTGTGGGCATTGCTTGTGATTGTAGCAGAGGTACGGTCAATTTGCATGTTTCTCTTTTATTAGATAAGAATTTTAAAGCTAAGTGTTATTAGTGCTTCCAGAATAGAAAATGGACCCGTTTTTATTGTAAAGATCTCTTCTACCGACAACCTGTTTAGAAATTGGGTTCATTGAATTAGGATCAGGGTAACGGCATTGTAACACTGGCTGGAGACATTATTGTGTGAAGTTTTCCCCGAGGCATGCAGTGATTTTACGATGTTTTTGGTCAATTTTAAGTTTTTGAATCCTTTAAGGTTTTTATCCCCTCATCTTTTTGCTTATTTGGGTACATTAAGTATGCTCTGTATTTAAAAATATATGTGATTTTGAAAAACAGACAAATTTTAATTAAATACAACATTAATTGAATTTCATGGGAAAAAGGACTTTCTGCCTTACCTACTTGGATACTGAAGTAGGATTGGGAAACATTGAAAATTGAGTTCATGCTGTTATGTCTAACATGCAATCTCTGTACTACATTTTTAATGTAATATATAATTATACCATATTAGAAAGGAAATTTTTTTTAATTTTATTGAATTTTTACAGAGAGGAAAGGAGAGGGATAGAGAGTTAGAAACATTGATGAGAGAGAAACATCGATCAGCTGCCTCCTGCACACCCCCCACTGGGGATGTGCCTGCAACCAAGGTACATGCCCTTGACTGGAGTCGAACCTGGGACCCTTGAGTCCGCAGGCCGACACTCTATCCACCGAGCCAAACCGGCTAGGGCTAGAAAGGAAATTTTTAACTGGCCTCTAACTATATTGCGAATTTCCCCCCGCAGTCCTAGTCTTAGTCAGGAGACCTAGTAAGACCCGTCTCATACTTTTGTTTTTGCATTGTTATTTTTATTTTATTTTTAAATTTTTTTAATACATCTTTATTGATTTCAGAGAGGAAGGGAGAAGGAAAGAGAGAGAGAAACATCAATGATGAGAGAGAATCATTGATTGGCTGCCTCCTGCACATCCCCCACTGGGGATAAAGCCCGCAAGCAACCCAGGCATGTGCCCTTGGCTGGAATCGAACCTGGGACCCTTCAGTCCGCAGGCTGACGCTCTATCCACTGAGCCAAACCAGCTAGGGGGCATTGTTATTTTTAAATAAACAATGAAACTCTCTCAAACAAGACATTCACTTGTTGCTTGGGTTTTTTTTTTTTTCAGTACCCTATATGTGAAGCATCTATTCATAGTGTGAATTGGGATTACATGTAGTTTGTGTACTTATTTCAATTTATCTTTTGCTATTAATGTGCTTACATTCAATATTTCACGTTATAAACATTTGCAAACCGACATATTCTTTTTCCTTTGCATGTTTGTGTGTGTGTGTATATATATATATGTGTATATATAAATTTCCTTATTGCATATCCAGTGCTCTTACGACATGAAATCGTTTTTATAAAATATGATCCTTTTTGCCATTGGGGAAGAAAATTTTTCAAAAGTGTTATTTTTAAATAAGGAAATTGTAAGCAATGTCTTAGGATTGTACCACAAGTTAGTATTAACCCAGTAGTAATGTTTTAAATCTCAATTCCTAGAATAAGTCTTTCATTTGATTCACTTTTTTATAACATATATAATATTCTATTTTTATGGGGGGAAAGTTCATCATCCTTGTAGTTAGCTAAGATGTACCAAAACACCACATTTCTGAATTCAGTTGAGTTAGCCACACTTGGAGTTGGAGAGGCTTCATTGATAGAGATTAAGATACTTCAATTGTGTGTCACAAGTATTTTAAAACAGGCATTTCAGAACAAATAGATATTAATGAGGAATGGTGTTATTACAGGTGCTTTCTTAGAAGACCTAGAATTTTTGAGCCAGGCAAAATAAGGAATGGAGAAGGAAAAGGAGAAGCCTATAGAGGCAAAGAAAAAGGAATGAACAGAGTGTTTTGGGAATAGAGTTGAGACAACCCTCTCTACCTTACTGGAGTAGAGGGTATTCTAGTGGTAAAAGAGGCTATCTAAAGTGGAATAACCTCAAAATTTATTGTTTTAGTCTTTCATTTTTAAAAATAGTATTTCTTCTAATTTCTACCTGTATATATAGAAGTTGATTTCACCTATCAGGGAGGGGATTAAGATCATCTGATAAACTCTTCTATAAATCTCATATTTATATGAACACTAGTGGCCTGGTGCATGAAATTTGTGCACATTAAAAGGGGATTAATTAGAGGAAATATTTTAATATTGCTATTTGCCCTTTCTCTATAATAGAAGTGTCAGAGATGAAAGAAAATTAGTAAAATGTATATGAAAATTCTCCTCTTGTCAGAGTCTGGGGCACTCCGCGGGACCCAGAGTCAAGTCCCTGCACACCCGCGGCGCCTCAAAATCGTGTGAGACCCAGACCCAGCCAGCCCCACCCTTGTCAAGCCCTGCCAGGTGGGGGGCACAGCCTCAGGTCCCCCGTCAA